TTAAAAAAAAAAGTTGCATTGTTGTTATTGTTTTTTTAATAAAATAAAAGTTGCGTTGTTGTTATTGTTTTTTTAATAAAAAAAAGTTGCGTTGTTGTTATTGTTTTTTTAATAAAAAAAAAGTTGCGTTGTTGTTATTGTTTTTTTAATAAAAAAAAAGGTGCGTTGTTGTTATTGTTTTTTAATAAAAAAAAAGTTGCGCTATTGTTATTGTTTTTGTAATAAAAAAAATTTGCCTTGTTGTTATTGTTTTTGTAATAAAAAAGTTGCGCTGTTCTTATTGTTTTTGTAGTAGCAATATAATACCCTGATCTAGTTTTAGGTAACTCTGACTGCTGGGGTGCTAGCATTCGTCCGGCAAAAAATCCAGTTTAGTTCCGCTTATGTAACTCCATAAATAATCAAAGTAAATGCTTTTCTATTTTTTTACATTACAATATTTGATATATTTCTGTTTTGTAACTTAAATAATACAAAAACAACTCAATATATATATGTATGTATGTGTGCACGTTGTATTGTGGCATGTAAATATTGGAAAGTGTGGGTACAAAAAAGTTTATTTTTAAACGTTTAACTTGTTGAAAATACATACTTATGTATTCGCGCACATACATATACATGTATGTATGTATATATAAATATACTATCATTATTTTTATTTTTTTTTTTTGTAATTACAATTAAAATGTGTCTCATTATGTATAGATTAAAAACAAAAACAAATAAAAAAAAAAACAATCAAGAAATAATAAATCATAAACTAAATTGCATGTGTTTCTTATTTTATTTTCTTGTTTAATTAAAAGTCTAGTTTTATTTTTTTCAATGCTTACGCCGAATGTTTGCATACTTGCATTTAAGATCGAATCTAAATTATTACACATTAATTGGGAAAATTCTGAATTAGCCCGCTACATTGATAAATTTGTGTTTCATTTACCTCATATTTGAGAGAAAGAAGCGGTTTTCCCTCTCCACTTGCTCTGACGACTTATAAATTATTTTTATTATTATATTATATAGTGTATTTTCTTACATTTAGATAAGATAAAATTGTAATGAATTATGCTAAAAATTGATTTAACTCAAATAATGTTTATTTAACATATACATATATAGTACATATATATATATGTCTGTATATGCAGTGGTGTGCCCTTCCTTGAGGAAAAATCAAAAAAGAAAACACACTAGTATTTATGTATACATGCTTAAAAAAAAAAAAATTCTACTAAAACTTAATTAGTGCGCACTGTTGTAAAAATCGCCTTGCCGCTGTATGCTCTGCGTCGCACTTCCATTTAAATATGCAAATTTTCATTTCAATTTACTTTTTTTTTGTGTGATTTTAATATTTGTCGTGCTTTATAAATAAAAACAAAATTTTAACTTTCAAAAATTCCTAAAGTTTGTACGCTAATACGTTCTACTAAATGTTTTTTTTGTTTGTTTGTTTGAGTGTGTGTGGATGTATACGTGGTTGTGTGTGTGTGTGTGTTCATGATAATAAGGAGAACAGTCTGTTGCCATTCACACATAAAATGGCAAACTATTCCTATTAACTTACATAACTAGGCATACATATTATATTATGTATACAAATGTATTGCAAGTATTGCAAGTATTGTTGTGTCTATCATAGTTAATAATGAAATAAGTTGATTGTTACTTACTAAACGTTATATACTATGGATAATATGCATATATGTATGTAGTTAATTCATACATATATTATGAAATAGTTTGAGGCATATTTTAATGTCTCCCAACTCAATCTGCCGTCTGCTGTTTAAATAAGCATTAATGACGTCGCCGATTTTGATATTTCTTTCTTTCGCTTAAATTCATCATGCATTCATCTACAGCGTTAAGTGGTGGGTGGTGGTAGTAGTAGTGCTGCAGCATTCGGGGAGGGTAGAATGCTACATTAAACCTTCAACATTTATCTACGTTTATACGACATACTTGCAGCCGAATTCGACTGCCACTGCCGTCGGCTATGTATTTAGAAGCGATAATTTTCATCAGCCATATGTATAGCCCACATGAATTTATTTCTTTGAGTTTTATTGAAGATTTTCTCAATTGGCACTCCATGCTTCTTGCACCTGCAAACAAATTTGCATATATTTAGTTGATGTAATTAAGCATTGTGTATGATTTGTTGTATAAAGTATTGTAACATTACGTTACATTCTACCCACCATGCGACAGTAATACGTGGATCTAAATAGTTCAACTTAGAGGTGCCCAATGCAATCGTCTTATTCTCATCCCTATCAGTCTCTTGTAATTCTAATTTCTTTAGCTGCTCTTTTAATCTTTCCAACGTCTTTGCCTTCTTGTCAGCCATAACACGTTCTTTTACCGATCCACGCTTGGCAGCTCTTTTAAGATCCTATAATCAAACGAAGTTATAGTTTGTTGAAAAAATGCATTTGCAGCCAATAATTGTTTAATTTACATGATAATCCGACTCGGTTTCATCAATCATCTCGCGTTTCTGACGTATCTTCTCCTTCAAGTTCTCCATTGACTTTTCATGTCCCTTCGGTACTGAACGTTGATGGTTACATAATATGGCTACTGCACGATTAGCGCGGTTATAGGCAAGTAACTTCTCCGCAGGCGACATACTTTCTTCGGTAAGTAAATCCAACTGGTTTTGTAATGTAATTGAGGCGTTGTAGGTACGGAACACTTTGGCAGTGAGTCCTATAAATAATAATAATAATAAAAATACTTAGAATCTATTTTTAATTATATATCTGTATTTACGCACCTTCCATAAGCTCCTTTAAATGTTCATTGAGCACTTGCGTGTTAAGACGGTCAAACAGATCGTCACCTTCCTTTTTATTTTCCAAAAATAGTTCTAGATTTTTAAATACTCGTTTTTCAACCTCAACTTCGTTGTAGTAGCGAATTGAATCTTTACCCAGAAAATCAAATACGACAACATTCTCTTTACCATTTAATTGTTTTTCTAATTTAACGTGCTCAACGCGAAGCGAACAACAACCTACGGTATCAGCTTGATCTTCGTCCTTTTCATTACCAGCTCTTAGAGCCAATTTATCAATGAAATATAAAGCGACGGCGCGTTGGCGGACACGCATCTCTTTTGATTTCCATTCATCACGATATGTGGCACGTATCTTATCTATAGATTTAGCTAAACGTCGGGCAGTTTCATATTTTACGTGATCCTTTTCACCCTTTAACTTAGACGAGGGATTCAACATAATATACTTGACTTGGCCTTGCACATTCTCTGTCCAAGATGCCAACCATGTTACTGTGTTATCATGACGCACCTCCTTCCACCGGTGACCCGGTGGTGGCGGTGGAATTTTCGAATCTTTGCCACAGTTAATAGACACATCTTCCGCTTGTATGCGACGTTTAATCATACCCATTTTTGGATGTTCGCCACGACCGCGAAACAGTCCCGGCGGTTCCAATCTGAAATTGCCTATTTTTTCCTTGTGGCCATCAATGATGCATATACCGTACTCCTTTATTAATGCTTCGTTTTCCAACTTTTTAGCCAGTTTCTCCTCTTTTGTAGCACTCTTACGTTTTTCGGATTCTGCGGTGAAATATCTGAACATTTCCTCAAAATTGCACTTATTAAAGTCTCTGATTATTTCACGTTCTTTCGATGTCATACTCTTGCGAAAATCTTTGAAGAAATTATCATTAAATATTTGTTTTGTGCAATAATCGTGATTTAACATTTTTGCATAGAATGTTGCTGCCTCCTCAGTCTCTGAAGACAATTCCATGGGTTTGCCGTCGTAATAGAAACGTACATGCTTCGGCACACGTTCATAGGGTGGCGCAAAAACGGGACCTTTATGTTCTAACGTATTCCACTTTACACCATCTTCACGCTTTTCTTCTTCCCACCTGAAATTTTTATTTAGAACAGTGAGCTTAGTTGTCAATTTCTTGGCTGTCTTAACTACAGGTTGGGTACTAGATGATATTGTTGTTTTTGTTCTTAAGTTCGTAGCATGTGCAGTCGTATGAGCAGCGCAAGTGATACGATTCAAATTAGCAGACTTTCCGCTGCATATGGCGAAGACAACACGTTCGCTTGCGTAAATAAACACTTTTGTTGCCTTCGCCATCGAGATGCAGTGGTGATGTTAGCCACATTACGCAAACCACACACCGAACACGAAAATACTAAATTGAAGTAAAATGACATAAAAACCTAACCTCAAATATTGTTCGGCCAATATGACAAGTACACAGCCTCCGAAACTGTTCCAATCACACAAGGGCTCTAAAACTGACATCAGCTGTTATCGAGCCCAAAGTCAGCTGACAACGCATTAAAATTTCTGTTTAACTAACGCTGCAGTTACGATCAAGAATTTGCTTTAAGTTAATCACACAAACTGCTTATCAAAATTGATTTACATTGAAAGCCGTGACGTGAGCTGCAAGCAACTTGATAATCAATATTATTTTCAAAATGCCGTTGTTGTTGTTGTTGTTGTAGCGGCAGAATTCTACCGAGTTGACAGTCCGGGTCCGTTCCGGTTACGTAGACCCGACTGTCGTGGGAACGGAAATGCCGTTGTCATCGAAATCGCTTAAAATACTTGAATTTTTTTTTCATATTAATAATATAATGGATTGATATACTTATATACTTATATTTTGATATCAATGCATAAATATGACGAAATATTCATATTCCCGACAATTGCATATCATTTGTTTGCAAAACTATTCGATCAGCTGTTCAAACTTGATCGTCAACTTGCCACTCGACTTGAATGAGAAAATTGATATCAAGACGGCTTTCAAGTTGGAAAAGTGAGAGTGCAGTAGTAGAAAAGTGAGAGTGTTTTAGTAAAAGTGTAAGTGTATTGCAACTTGAAAGCAATTTCTTAATCGTGTAAGGTCCGAGTCCAAGAATTAACCTAACATGTCAGAAATATTTCTTACCATCTCCAAACTTCTTCTTCTTCTTCATCCTTCTTCTTGCGTTTAGTTGGCGAAACAGTCTCCTGTTTAACTTGTGTATGTTGCTCGGTCTGCAAGATTTTAATTTAATGCTATAATTCTTACAAATTTTTGCACAAGTACCTTCTTGGCCTTTTTCTTCTTGGGCTTAGACTCTCCATACTCTTCTTCTTCCTCTTCCTTGACACGTTTCTTTTTATTCTTGGACTTCCCTGATGACGACTCTTTCTTAGCCTTCTTTCTTGCCAATAATGGCACATCCTCATCGTCATATTCTTCCAACTCTGCTTTTATTTTACGTTTAGCTAGTGGTATATCCTCCTCATCATCCTCCTCCTCAGCAATGGGAGTAATGGTTTTAGTATTTGTCTTACGCATAGCCAAAGGGACATCTTCCTCGTCGTCCTCGTATTCTTGATTTTCCCGCTCCTGTTTGAACATACTATCTTCGTCAGCACTGGCCTCCTCTTTTACGACAAATGAAGGCTCATCCTCTTTAAATTGTGACATCGAATAATCACATGAGCTAGCCTGTGAAATATTAATATTTTGTTCTTCCATCTTAATGTCTGGCTTTTCTTCATAACCATCCTTGCCATTTTGACTATTTTCGAAACCGGTATTTGATTCGTCCATATAGTCGTTACCAACTGGTTCGGGTCTAAGTGCTACAAAATCAGTATTATAACCATTTGACTGTGAATCAATTAAAGGTTGTGAGATCGGCTCTGGTTTAATGAATTCTCCATCTAATAATTTTGATTTGTCACCGGATGAAGATTTTGAAGAACTAGAGCTGGAATGTTTGTGTTTCGAAGATGACGACGAACTCCGATGGCGATCCTTATCCTTATCACGTGTGCTAGATGATGACGATGAAGACGATTTGTGGTGGCGATCTCGTTCCTTGTCTTTATCTTTGCTCGATGAGGAGCTACCGCTTTCTTTGCGCTCGCGATCTTTATCTTTGCGTTCCTTATCTTTTGAAGAGCTTTTATGATGGCTAGAGCTCGATGACGATGATGATTTGTGTCTATCTTTATCCTTATCACGGTCCTTATCACGATGGCTCGAACTTGAACTGGAGCTATGCTTGCCATCGCGTTCTTTATCCCGATGTTTATCTCTACTACTGGACGATGAACTGCTATGGTGTTTATCTTTATCGCTAAAAAAATCAATTAAAGAGAAGCATTAAATTTTTTGCAAATAATTGAATGTAGCACTAGTTGCCATACCGACTGCTGCTCTTGTGATCCTTGGAACTTGAGCTTGAACTTTTGTGATCACGATCACGATCGCGATGTTTATCCTTACTAGAGGATTTATGTTTACTGCTGCTGCTACCACTGTGATGACCATTACTGACACCATTCACTTGCACCAGTTCAGATGACCCATTCTGCGTCTTGATGTCCTAAAAAATAAAAACATATGAATATTTTAATATTAATGATATAATATATTCATAAACATATGATAAAAAAGTTCTTTAACGATATAGTAAATAATAAAAGGTACCGTATTACTAAGTAATATAAGAATTATTTTTGTAAACCTGTTCCGCTACTAGCACCGCTACTAGTTCACATACAAAACAATAATCTTTTTGCACATTTAACTCGAAGAAGCATAAAACAAGTTTCTAATCACAGTATTGTGAAGTTAGAGATATTAACTTTTTTTTTGTGTTTCCTATATCACAAAATTTAATTGTAGAGCTACAACAACTGACAAAACATGTGAGGGAATTGACCACGTGTTACATATTGCCCCCAATTATAAGGCAGAATTGCCAGCGATAGTTTAGCTGTCTAATTTACACTCAAAAATGCAAACTAACTCGCGAAATCAAAATAATCAAATAATATATTAAATTAGATAAAGGTAACCCCATTCAGCTGACAATTAATCAAAATAGAACCTACACACACCAACAACTAAAGTTTACGTATGTTTGTAGTCGTATGTGAAAAACTTAAAGAAAAATTAATTATTAGCATCAGTCAACGAACACGTTGTCCACACCTCCGTTCACACGCGTTTCACAACAATGTGACGTCGTGACGACCTTTACGCTCTTCGATATTATGCATAAATGAAACTAGCAAAATATAAAACTATAGTCGATAACTTAGGTGTCTTTGCCATTGCTATTGCCCTGTAAGTAGCATTAATAATTCGTTCTAGTTAATATAGGTCATTGTTTCATAATTATATAACAAGCTTTAATTCTTTCTAAGGCTATATTTATTCTATTGTAAATCGAATCGATTTAGATAAATATATTATAATATCTAGTTGTAAGCAGTACCCATACTAATTACAAATAAAAGCACAGTGTGACGTAGATGTATTACATACATTTATATATGGTACATATGTAATATTGTTTGCAATGTGTGCTTCAATAGATATAGCTTTCGGGTATTGCTGCTTATCGCTCACACTTGAAAGTAATAACCAAAAAATTTACCTTTTCTTTTGTGAGGTAGTATATGCAGTACCCCTGGGGACAACACATGCAATGTGTGATATGTGGGTACATACATATGTATATATAATATAAATTTCCGACATGTTGATCTACATCTATGTTTTGTTTTCTTGCATTGACGAATGAGATCTTCAAAAGATCTAACATATTTATCACATAATGTTCTCTTTATTGAGTTTATGTCACTTAGTTTCGTGATAAAAGAGATAGATATGTATGTATAAAGGTGTAATAAGTATAAACACCTAAAAATGTATTTATATGTACTAGTGATTAAAGCTTTAAACTTATAAATATATCTACTTTAAAACAATACAATACAATCGAATAAGAATCTGCAATAGTGAAAGCAAAAACACACTACATACAGGCATTGTTTTAATTTCACACTAATATGAATTAGATTCGTAATACTGTCGATCAGCTCAGCAAAAGATCACAACCTGGAGCCCATTCAACTACGACAGCGGCAGGTAACAAAGAGAAAAATAAATATTAAAAACAACGAATGCTCACAAAAAAGAAAAGAGGCGAATAACCTACAAGATTTTTAGCCCGATGTAGATACAAATATTTGTATGTATATATACATTCATACATGCGCATATATGTAGATGTGCATATGTATGTTAATTGCATCTTTATACCCTAAACAGAATATATTAAGTTTGGCAAGAATTTTGCAGCACCGAAAAGGAAACGTAGGTGATACATATACGTATATGTAAATAATCAGCTTGACGAGCTGAGTCCATTTAGCCATGTCCGTCTGTCTGTCCTTCTGTCTGTATATACATGAATTAGTTCCTCAGTTTTTGAGATATCGATCTGAAAAGTTGATCATCTCTCCCCATAAAGCTGCTCATTTGTCCGATATCAAAATACTTAAGCCTATAGCTGCCATAAAGAATTAACGATCAAAATAAATTTCTTGTATGGAAAACTTTTTGAATTGACAAAGTATTTTCACACAATTTGGTATGGACAAAATAGAATATCCGAAGAAATTGTTCAGATCGGGTCACTACAGCATATAGCAGCCATAAAAACCGACCGATCAAAATCAAGTTTTCTTACAAAAACTTGAACATATGAAGGGTATTATAACTTCGGTGCAGACGAAGTTGACGTTTTTTTCTTGTTTTTTTTTTTTTTAATTTGATAAACTGCAGTGGTTTTTAGCCACATTTGCTTGATTTGAAACTAAAGGAGCTGAAAGTCAATATACAATACAACACGAGTGGCGATGCTGGCAATTTTTAGTCAAAAACTGGAATAATATGAAAATAATATTAGCACATAATTTTAAAAATATTAAAACAACCAAACATTAACACAGAATGCAAGTTTTAAGAGAAAAGAACCTAAAATTAAAACAAGGTAAAGCATATGTTCAACTTTACTTGCGTATGGGCCATACAGTTGTATTCACATGGATGCATACGTACATATTTATAAGTGCAAAAATCTCCGATTATAAAGCAATGAAACCACTCTTTGGAACACAAGTACCTACTTCACCTGCACATATTCATTCGTATATGTGTTTACCATATATAGAGATACAGATGTAAAGGAAGTAAATGTAAACAATATTTCTAAAAACAAGTAAATAAAAACGGAATGCGAATGTTCAAAGTGGATGGAAGAAAACGAAAATGGTGAAAAATACAAGTGAAAATTAATACTTGGAAAATTTAATTGCGAAGTCAACTTACAAATCAAGGGGTACAAAAGAAAAGGGTGGTTGTGGTGGTTAGTTTTCAATGCTTCTTATCTCTAATATTAAACAAACAATAACATTTTCTTACTTGATACTCTAATAAGAAAATAACTTGTTATTTGTTGTTAATATTGCACACATAATACCAAACTAGATTTAATATTGCATTACACTGAAGGTTGCATTATACAGAATTATTCGCTTGTAGTACTTAACTGAATACATCTTGCTTTAAACATTAACCAAACTACCTATGATATAAATAAATAAATTTCGTAAATGTAAATAATAGAATTGTGTATTCACGTAGAATTCCAGTCATGTTATGAAAATTTTATTAAAAGTTTTCGCTATTATCAGCCCGTCGTTGATCTGCCTGCCACACTCACAGTCAATACTCCGATGTTCCAGAAGAGACTCTGAAATATTTTACGCTACCACCGAGCAACCACGACAATGTCTACGAAAACCTTACATGTCGTACGGCTCACTCGCTCGCTCTACCGACTCGTATTCACTATTACTTGTACTTAGTGCTGCGTTTGTTACGCTGCTTCCATCTTTGACTTTCCCTGTTGCAGCCAGCCAAAAAGCTACATCGCAGCAGCATATTACTAAAACCGCATACTGCAAACTATAATACTGAAGCTTATACATCGTAAACACAGTGTACCGCATATAAATAATTAACATCGCACATTAAATCTAAACCTAATGAGGATGGGCAATTAAGAGTTTTTGGGCCAAAATTTGCCAAATAATAGATTATAAATGATTTTTGATTCAATTTTGCATTGCTACTACTTCGGAACGCAGGTAATACAGCAAGTATTACTCTCTTTGTTGGTGTTTTTGCTGATTTTGCCCGTTGTGTTGCATTTTGTCCATGTATGCTGTTGGGGACTTGTCGCCATTTTCATGAAAAACTTGACGTTTTCATTTCAAGGCGATCGCGTTGGGGCCCGACAAATCGCACAGACAGACAATTACTACTTAAACAAAGAAAAATATACATTTAAATATTGCTGACATATTTACTATATTTGCACTGAAAATGCATCTACATTTCCGTTTCAATGTACACTTGTTTTTCAACATATTTTTTTTGTAAAAATCGTTAGTGATAGTTTTGAGGAATATCTGAAAAATTACATAAAATTTCACCGTTACCATAATTACTACTTACATTCTCGGGTGCCACATCCACGCTCATTTTTACAGTCTCGACTACGAAAATTCACACGAAAATTCGGAAGATTCCACGCACACACTTCTCTGCTTCGATTAGCAGCTAAAAATTACTTATTTCAGCCACTTAACACGAGATGAAATGTAAAAGCAACGAGCCACACGGCAAAGGCAAAAGTGCTATGAAAATTTTTCAAAGTCTCGCCTCGCCACACAAAATGGAACTTAGAAAAATTCTGTGTGTGTTGAATGAATGTACTAGAGTAGATTGTGCGATTCGCAAAATGCCTGCCTTCCAAACTTTCAGTACTTTCCGACTTTGACAGGCTTGCCATTTCGACAATACAAAACGTAGTTAACTTACGTGAGTTCAATTTTATATAATTCTAGAGTATTGCATGTTGTGAACATATAATTATGAAACAGTTTTAAAGCCATTTGAATGGTGTATTATTCTTAAATTATATAATTTGCTCAAATTACAATGAATAATTTATGTTATGCATTGTTACCAAAAATTTGCAACCCTATAAAGGAAATTGGTAATAGATCGTAAAATATCTCTTTTGCATTTACTCTAAGGCATTTCTCAAGCCTATTGTATAGTTCAGTTTGGTTCGCTCATCTTGAATGATGCCGGTTAAAAGAGCACAGTCAGAGTGAGAAGCATAATTTCTCATAAATAGTGCGTGCACTTTCTCCCTTTCTTATCAAAATTTAGTAGGGTGATTTAGAAGCTATAGAAATTTATTAGGTAGAATAAAAAAACAATTAAAAATCTATCTGAGATTAAATACCTTATTCTCTTCCATTTTCTAAACATTAAAAACCCTCAAACTTTAAAAAACTGTTATTCCTTATTTTCTTTGGTAAGTATCTAAGCGATTTACTCAAAAATAAAAGTTTAATCGCACGGCACTCTGTAAAAATTAACGTCATAACAACTGTTTACCTTCTTTGAACGATACATTAAACAGCTGATTTCAAGTTTTTATTTTTTAATGCAGTGTAGTAAACAAATGGTTTACATTATTGAGAAATAATGCGAATATGGTAATTAAAGAAATATTATATATTAAAAGCAGTGAAAATTTTTTTTTGTTTTTTTTACAGTATGGTCACGGATTTCTTTTATCCAAGTATTGGCGGTGTAGAGGAACACGTTTTCAATTTATCTCAAATCTTATTAACCCACGGACATAAAGTGAGTCATAAACGAGCGATTCTTAATATGCATTTGAAACTCAACCTTCACCTTTTTATATTCAGGTCATTGTATTAACACACTCGTATGGCGACTGCAAAGGCATTCGTTACTTAACGAATGGTTTAAAGGTCTATTATTTACCAATTAAGCCATTTTACAATCAATGCATACTGCCAACAATACTTTGTCAAATACCTCTGATCCGTTGTGTGCTACTAAGAGAGTGCATAGAAGTTGTACATGGGCACTCTGCATTCAGCACATTGGCTCATGAAGCAATGATTATAGGTAACATGCTAGGATTAAGGGTAAGTTAGAACAGCCAACGACCAATTCGACTACAAATTTTGTTATTGATTGCAGACAGTTTTCACGGATCATAGCCTTTTTGGCTTTGCTGATTTATCGGCTGTTTTCACTAATAAAATGTTGCAGATTAATTTGGCAAATGTAAATCACTGCATATGTGTCTCTCATATTGGTGAGTTAACTTATATATTTTGGTGCGTCAATGACGAATATTTCTCATATGAACAGGTAAAGAGAATACTGTGCTACGTGCACGCATACCGAAAGAAAATGTTTCCGTTATACCAAATGCTGTTGATACTGCCTTATTTACACCGGATCCAAGTAAACGGCCTTCAGACGGAACAAGTAAGTACCTAATTCTCATTTATTAAAAAATTCAGACGAGTTTATAACTAAAACAATGTTTTATATTTTTATTTAGTTAACATTATCGTTGCCTCGCGTCTAGTTTACCGTAAGGGAATCGATTTGTTAGCTGGTGTCATTCCACGTTTCAGACACACGCCTAATATAAATTTTATTATAGTAGGCGATGGACCCAAACGGGATCTACTCGAAGAGATACGGGAAAAGGCCAATATGCAAGATCGCGTTGAGTTAATAGGAGCAGTTGAACATTCTCAAGTTCGCGATATTCTTGTTCGTGGACACATTTTCGTAAATACATCGCTTACTGAAGCTTATTGTATGGCTATAGTAGAAGCAGCTTCATGTGGTCTACAAGTAGTGTCCACTCGTGTGGGTGGTATTCCCGAAGTGTTGCCATCGAACTTAATCATACTTACGGACGCTGAAGTTGATTCTGTTTACCAAGGTGTACTTAAAGCTCTTGCCCGTTACACACAGTTTTGCAAAAAACAAAAACTATACCCAGTCGAAACAAGTATTGAAAAAAGCAATATGTTTTATAGTAACGGCGTTTCGATTGGCAATGGCGCAATTTTAGCAACAAAATCAAATAAGCGGAAGAATAACAAAAAATATACGAATTCAAACGTAAATAAACCAAAAGAACCAAAAATTATTGGAGATTTCGAAAATCATGAAGATGATGCTGTGCTTTGTCCATATAGATGTAACGAAATTGTGTCAACATTATACAATTGGGAGAATGTTACGCAGCGTACAGAAAAAGTATATAATCGTATTTTAGCCGAACCTGAGAAATCACTTGGGGATCTACTTTACGGTTATCTGCGCAGTAAAGTCTGGCCATTCCTGTTGGTGATATCTATGGCTCATGTTATATTATTATTTTTGGAATATTTACGTCCACGTCGATATATGGAAAAAGCCAAAGAACTGACACCTTTGAGAAAACAGTAAACAACATTTATTTTTGATTATGAATATACATAGTTTAGCTGAAATTTAAATTATTATAAATACAATGTATTTTTATAAGTAATAACAAGCCATTTGATGGGTGCATTTCCAATAATTCTACTTGTGACATATTAAAATATTTTCCTTTTTACAAAACCAAATACAATAATATTAAAATCTTCTTTTAAATTTGTATTTTATATTGGATTCCACAGGCCTTGCGAAATATTCTGAGGTATGAATTCTCAAAGCTAGTCATACCAATATTACACGAAGGACTATTTACAATAGCGGTATCTTTTAATTTCCCGTTTTTAATCGGAATTAAGTAATTATGATACGGAAATATATTCCAGAATCCTTGAAATAATTTTGCTGCATGTGTAACTAATCTGAAATCATTTGAAATATAACCACTTCCGGATTATAACCGTTACTATATCCCTAGAGATGAAAGCTAAACGATATAGCAGTTAAAACGACCATTGCATAAATCGTTTACTATTGCCATCTCTGTCGAACAGCTGTCAGAACTACACGCACTTGATAGAAGGAATAGAAAAAAACAACGAATACGAAAAATTCAAAGCAGCAGCTGGGCGAAGTTGGACAATAGAAAAAACAAATACGAAAAACCTATTAATACGGCAAAAATTGCGCATAATACAGCGCAAAACAAATAAAATAGTTTTATTTATATTACTAAAATACTGTGCCGCTAAAACCCGCCATGGATTTGCTGAATTCAATACTCAATTCAATGGAAAAACCTCCCGCAGCTACAGAGCAACAGAAAAAAATGATCAAAAAACAAAAAGAGCTTGCTGAACGAATTAAAAACAAACAGAAAGAAGAACTAAATCGATTTCGCAAATATGTAGAGGAACGTATCGGACGATTTGCAAAGGACGATCGCCCTCATATTGAGTTTCAGCCGCTGGATAAAGTGCACCGTGCCATTATTCATGAGGTAGCAGAATTCGGTGGCTTTATTGCAATGAGTTTTGGCCGCGAAGATATCGATCGTCACTCAGTTGTTTATAAAAAAGAGAATGCTCCATCGGAAGATGAAATAGCAGCTCGACGCAACGGTGACGGTTGGAATGAAGAAATTGCCAAAGAATATGCCGAAAGGCGAAAACAACAACGCGAGTTGGAAAGTGAACAAAAAAGACTGGCACGTGCTTCCACCCAACTACCACCTACCACAGAGTGTGACATTAAACCAACGACCAACTATAAAGATAAATACGCTCATCTTATTGGGCAGGATGCAGCCTTAGAGGCTGCGCGTAAAACAGAAACTAATCTGAGTTATGGTTTCGTGCCCAGCAAAAACAAGAAGGATATGCGTTCGATTGAACAAACTTTAGCTGATATTCAAGCAAAGAAGAAACGAAAATTGGAGCAGCAACAACAGAGTGCATTACCTAATCTGCAGCAAGAACAACAGTCTATTGTCAATGAGCAAGAAAGGGCTTTAAGCACGCAACAAGAGCAAGACAAACAGGAGCCTAATCTAGTTGGAAGCAGTGCTAGAGCAGATGAGTGATAATTATAGCGAGCAACTATTTTCATACTTAAACACGCTTGTAAAACGACTGCTTTGTGTCTTTGCATAAATTTGCAATAAATTGCAATATTTTTACTATTTACGAGTTCACAACTGAATTGTTAACTATTTGAAATGGTATTGAGTAAAAACACATAAATACATATATTATAATGAAAACATACTAACGCGTTGTAATTACAAATGTTTCTAAGTACATATAAGAAATTGATTGATATATGTGTATGTTTATATAATTGTTAAATACATATAAACATATACACGTATGTACCTAACTATATTCAAAAAAGCAGTAGTTTGTGATTTATTAGTTTACGCACCGGTGGATTATCGTTCATTAATCGATGCCGAATTGTTCGCGAGACGTTTAGTTCATGAGAAGTATACGACGCTCATCAACCAGTTTTTCTTGGACAACGAAAAGTAATTGAACTAACATTTTAATTAAATTTTTGTTTTCATTTTGTAATCCCAAATACGGATTTAAAAAAAAGTTTTAATCCCACATACCGGATTTAAAAAAATATATATTAATAACATAAAACAAATATCTAATCCAACAAAAATTTAAAAATTTAAAAATAAAAATTTTATCCCAAGCATACCTATAATCAAGATTTAGAAAAAAGAAATTGTTTTAGAATTGACATTTTTTCGCGTTTCTCTACTTCATTCATATTAAAAAATAAAATTTCCAATTTTTAAACCCAAACAAGCCGAATCTAATTTTTAATCCCAACAACGAATTTAATTTTTTTAAGTAAAATTTTTAATTGGAAAAATTCGCAACCCTACATTGATATGAAAAATATTTCGAAATAACCACTTATTTAAAAAACAAATATTACTTACACCTACATATTTTATTGGCCAACCAAATTTAATGAAGCATTGATAGCTTGTCACTCTAACGGAAAATTAACAAAATAGTAATGCAAGTTTTTGATACTTACGTTCTACTCTTTCGCCTTCATCGTAAAATTGTAACGGTATCAAAAAAAAAAAAAACATTTGAAAAACCATTTGGTAAAAAAACAGTATCAGCTAAGCGAACACCTATTATTTTGTTCATAAGTGTACATCCTTATAAAGTTGAATATTTATTTCAAATTGTTTATGTTATTTTAGCTTGTTCAGCTTATGAAATAAATTCGGAATATAAATATATGGAAATAATTTAGAATATTAGTTATTAATATTAATGAGAAGGGGAAATTTCTATCAAAGACAATTTTTTTGAAATTAATATGTGCGTGTGTGTAAAAATAATATTTTATTTACAAGTCTTATTTAGATTTATAAAAATATATATATTTTTATTTTATAAAAACTAGGTATACCTTTATGGTATATGTAGAAAATGTCATTAACCTGTAGATGCTCATAGAATATCAGTTGGTGAAAAATTTACTTCATAATAAAGCTTTTGCCAACAACTTACTATATACTTATACTTAAATATATTTGAGAATGTATTTTAATACTTAATTGTATTTATAAATGCTCATTTACAACTTTTTAGCCATTGGTATTTTTGTTTCTTCTTGTTTTTACATTTGGATGATAATTGACGTAGTAAGTGAGCATACAACAAATGCCGACATAATAAAATACAAAAGCTGAAATACAAATTGCATAGAAAAGACTAGTAGAATCTAAAAGATTTTTTGGTGGATAATATATGAATAATCGTATACATATGATATTTTCTATCGAACAAAGTAGATAGTACAATGCATATTTGTATCTAGTTGGTGCCTCCTTGACTGGAATGTAAATGAATATGTAAACGAAACCTAGTGCGATGCAAAAGAGAAAATTGTGAAAGAAAATAATGCTGGAGAATTCCGGACGTTCCACTATGTATGTGACGAATCCCAATATGACGGCGTGCAAAATGCATGCAACTATTGTCCAGATGGGAAAGAGCACAGCCACAAAAGCAATGCATAAGATGCGCGAAACTACAATAAAAATTTCAAATCATTTTTTTTTTTTTTAAATTTAATTAATAATTCCTTATTTTACTCACGTGAAATACAAAAGTGCCAGCAGAGATGAGGCGCCATATACCAATAGCTTAACTTGTTTTTATTTGGTTGCGCGGCACGTATGCAACGATTATAACTGAATAACGTCCATGGTACGCTCGAAAGATAAAGCAGCACACTAAGTATTTGTGTAGCTGTTAAAACAATAAACAAGTTTACTTCAATATTATTTATTGCACTTGCAAAAAAAAAATAATACACAAGGAGACAATGACGAAGGACGCTCAGAATACGAATCAATTTGAGTGATATTTTGCAGGCAATGATATAAATATAAAACACGTTTTGTAACATCGAAATTTTCGTAATACTAATGTCAGCTGTACTTGAAAATTTACTTTTATTAATTATTAAAAAATAAAAACTGTAAGCTTGCTTTTCTGCTAATAAAAATATGTAAACTAGTCTCTCTGTTTTTGAGATATCAATCTAAAATTTTGCACACATCCTTTTCGCACCAAGAAGCTACTATTAGTCGGAACCGCCGATATCGGAGCACTATAGCATATACAAATTGACTAATCCAAATTATGTTCTTGCATGAAAAAAATTTTTCATTTAACAGACATCTTTAGATGGAGCTAACAATGCAAACTGACCGATCAAATAAATTTTTTATTTGTGAAGGGTATTATAGGTTCAGTGCAACCGAAGTTAAAGTGTTATCTTTATTTCAATAAAATTCATTCATCACAATTTCGATCGAATAAAATTGTTTGCAAAAAAAAAGCATCTTTTGTTTATTGGAAAAACTTTTCGACACTCATATTTACAAAAATCAATAAATTTACTGTTACTAACTAATACGAGTTTACTATTGGCATTACAAAACATGGTTTGTTATAGTTTCAAATGTATAAATAATTAGACGTACCTGTGATTTGATTTTCTTGCATCAGTATAATTGATATTTGCAATATTTTTTGTGGAGCAGTTTCCATGAAACATTCAAATAAACGAATCAAAGCAACATCGCTTTCTTCTTTCGCAGTGCGTTTGTAATAACTGTAAACAATGATAGTCAAACATATTATAAAATAATTACTAATAGCGTCCATTTGTTGCTTACTCTGATTGTTCGTCTCGATTTCCTTGCAGTTCAGCATGTTTGCATTTTAACGAATATATGAGCGTATTCCAGTGTCTAAAAGTAATCATTGGTAAATAGCATTTGAATAGTTATATATATATTCTTAAACCTGAGAAAAAGTGAAGATACTATAACCAGTAATGCTGTTTCCGTTGCCTTCTTGAATCCGCCCTTAAATTTTTTATCTTGATAACACCTAAAAATATTTTAAAATTCATAGCCAATTATAATTTTAATTAATATTTCTAAAAGCGTGGTGAAAATTTAGAGGTAGGGTTTTTTGCCTTAAATTAATGTATAATATCTCAAGAATGTTGTCTCTAAATCTCAAGTAATAACTTGCAGTTATTTAACGTACATTGTAGCATATATCAGCGCAGTGACACACATTGGCACTATTATGCATACGACTGTCCAAATGCAATAACTTTCTTCTCCTTGTTGATAATAGTCCACAGCCAATTTGACATTGAGTAACACAGCAACTACGCGCATTAATATGGAAATAACTGTCAAGCCTATCTCTAAGTACGATACTGTTTTATTCTTCCACACGTGCGCTTCAGTATCAACTTCATCGCCGAAGGTACCATCTGCCTCCGTTTCCATACATTGTGGCAAAGTGCTATTCAGTATGCAACGACTGTGAGTTAACTTTATCCATTCCAAAAGGGTAGATAAGTTATCCGTTGATGCCATTACTACTAATCTATTAAAAACTAGACATTCCAAGTGTATTGCTGTTCTCAGGCAATCAAATTCATTTGTTAAACGCCTGCGCAGCCTGATAATTATGCATTAATTATTTTCGTTATACGATGTCCTTGTATTTATCGTAAAAGAGTAGCTAAGCCCCACAACTTGTGCGTGAAAATGTTAATCTAAAATTTCTTATCTGTTCTCGTTAATTAGTACAATAAAAAACAATTTCACAAGTAACATTTCGCCATAACAAAACATGCAAAACAAAAAAATTTGTGCGGAAAACAAAAAAATATTAAACGGGCTAATAAACAGCTGATGGCGCAATATAGATCGATAAAAGTCGATCGAATACATCGGCGTTGCCAAAACAGCAGAAATATCGAAAGTAAGTAAAGTCCAATATTCACTATTTAAATTTCCTGTCTACACTGAGCGAAAAATAAAATAAATGAATAAAATTACAAAGTGTAATAAAAATAAAATAATTGAATTAACATCTGAATTAATTTTTTTTTATTTTAAGCCCGGAAATCTTAATTAACCTTCTGTATATGAGGTGGAGTATGACATAGCTCAGCCGTAAATTTAAAAATTTTAAATCTAATTTTGAGACTGGGATTGGGAAGTGGGTATAAATATTGAAAATCAATATTGGAATTAAAAAATTGCAACCAAGATTCTAATATATGGGAATTGTGACAAAACCTGATTACTTACTTAAATAAATTCAATTTAAAATACATTTGTCTTGTTGTTTTTTATTATTTTTATTTTATCATTTGTATTATTATCGTTTAATATTATTGTTGTAATTTATAATTTTTACGCATTTACTCTCATTATTTCACATTACAGTGTAAGAATTAAACTAATTGTTTACACATATGCCTAAATTGTGTATGTATGTGTATAGGTGTAGGTGTATACGTATGTATTATGTATTAGCTTACAAAGGGACAATAATCATTGCTGCCGTTATTAACATTCGACGACGCTTGTCATGCCTTAAGCGCTCTGTATGTTTCTTTTTTGTATTCATTTTTTGTTACTTCATTTTTATAAGTAGTTTAAACTTAGGTTCACTATTAACTTGTAATTTCTCTTCACTTCATAAAATTTTACGTTATTTGTTTGAGTTTGTTTGCTGTTCTTTTATATAAATTACTTCTCAAAGTAAATACTAGAGTGGATTTATGAGTGTTAAAGCGTGTCTTTACGCTATTACTTATTGTTTTTTGTTCTATTCTATTATAATTTGCATGGGCAAGGGTCATTATGTATGTATGTATATGCATGTATATAAATGAATTATCTGTATGTGGGAGGAAATTGTGATTAACTCTTTTTCTTTCTTACAATTTTACTCATTACTGTATATTTAATTTATTATTATTTTATCGGTACTTAACTTAATCAATTAATTAATAATTTCCTTTTGTATGTTTTGAATTTTTTTTCCATACATTTTGTATGTTTAATTTTGAAGTAAAATAAATGTTATTTGCTAATAAGTGAAAACTAAAAAAAAAAAAATAATTACGCTCGTAACACAATAACTAATTTGTATATTTCATATATGTAACTCAACTTACTACGAAGTTGCATACATACATACATGAGTATGTACATACTTGTGTATACATACATATGTATGTAATTATAATTGTATGTGCTAATTCATTATAGATACTGGTAAATTACATATTATTAAAAATCAACGAACAATGTAATTTATTATTTATTTTTGCTTTATTTTTGTTTTTTTTTTGTTGCATGAAACATATTTTTACACACTCTTGCATAGTTTGTAATTTTAAAAACTCTTTTGACCCGCATTAAATATACTTGCACAGGCTTTTAACTTATAAATAGTAATAAAGAGAAATTAAATTAATCAATATGTATGCCTATAAATTTTATATTTTTTGTATTTTATATTTTTTGTATTTTACTCTAACACAAACGCACGCTTACTTGTTTTTTTTTGTTTTCTTTTAATTAACAACTATAATTTTTATTTAAAGTTGAACTTATTTTTATAAGAGCATTCATATATACTTTTATGTTTCAATAAAAAAAACACACCGCTCTTGGTCTGGAAGAAAAAGCTACAAATACATTGTTTTCTTTTCATTTTTGTTTTTTATTTTGTTCTACGCTAAAAAATTAGATTTTTTCATTATGTGTACAATGTGGTTATTACTGCCTTTCATATTTTATTGTTTTCTTAATTTTCATTTTATTAAATTTATATATTTGTTGGTTGGTGTTAATTAATTAAGTATGCATATATGTAAATATAGGCATTAGTGTCGGCTAAACTGCCACAAACGACGCTCAAACGACGGCTTTACTACCTATCATGCCCCTCCCCGATATTTCAGTCTGTCTTTGCAACGCGCTATTGTTGTAACTATTCACTTCATATCCGGTGCAAGTCGCAATTTGAGAATCTGTTAAAATTTCGCTTTAGACATTAATTATATGCATGTATGTATGTGTATATTGCTTTCTATTGTAGTGAAAGTTTGGTGTTCGTTTTTTGCCAAGGATTTCGAGAGAGAGCAAAACTAATTTAGAGGCATCAAAAATATACATATGAGTGTATATAAGAATGTACATATGTACGTCTTAGCCATGATGAGTTATTAATAAATACTTGTAATTAATAAAAATAAAATCTCATATAGTAATCTTCGAAAGTAAAATTGAGTTAAATGTATAAAGCAGCCATGCACAGACTTCTTCTCTGCTGCCAAATTCAACTGTTTACTTAAACCTTGTTGAATTTGAAGAAAACGCGAATTAACTAATAAATATAATATAATGTACGACAAAAATTTTGAAAATATAAAATAAACTGGCATCTACATGTCTGCAACTGCAATTGAATACACATATGTATACGTACATATGTACATGAATACTCTCAAAACTTTGAGGTCGCATGATTCCTAATCGGTCTGCATATGTATGTATGTACATAAAATCATTGCTTTTTTTTTGTTATTACTTTCAATTAAAGTTCTTGTTTTTTTATTTTTAATATTACCTAATATTATGTAGTAAATTTACGTGAGTGTATATGTACGTATGTCCTCTACTGCAATTCTTTGACATTTGATTTTTTATAATCATTAAATTTAATAGGAATCTGTCGAGCCTGAAGTAGTTTGCATTTCATATTCATTTTTTTTTTACATAATTTTTAATTTTATCCGTTATTTTTTTTTTTGGGTTTTATGTGGCTTCAATGAAAAATGCATACATACGACGTATAATGCATGGTACAATTATATACATACATATATACAAAAGGTTCGATATACTAGTAATATGCACATACGAGTAGTACACGATTTTACACAGGGTGAACGCGGTGGTATTGATGACGAATTTAAAAAAAAATCAAATAGTAATTTTCACTTTTGCACAAATAGAAACGAAAATTTTAAATGTCTGCCATAAAAATACTACTAGTGGTAAATAAGGGTACAAAAGATTATAAAGAATTCGAAAGCAATAAATGAGCTATGCAACATAGTAGCGTAAAAGCCATCATACTTAAATAGTGCAAATGTGTGGCAATTTCAAGCAAAAACAAAACAAATAGTCAAAGAAAATCCACTTCAATAGTTTTTCGGAAATTTTTGGGCATTGCATCAACCGTTTTTTAAATTTGGCGTTTTAAAATTAATTCCTGTCGTCATGACCAATAATAAACAAATACTTTTTCCTGCAAATAACCATAAGAAATATACTTCTAAAAAGAGGGTGTAACCCAAAAAGATGTTCTTAGTTTAAAATTTTGTGTTTTAACCAAAGTTACGAAAAAAATATTGCATATGATAATAAAAAAGGAGATTTAGTTATACATCTTTTTTGGTTGAATTTCGAACTCTATATTTTATTGTTGATGACGACAAAATAAATTTGGTTGCCATAAGTTACCGAAATTTAAAGTATTCCGCACAAAAAATTATACCACTGCACATTCTGCACAAATGCATAAATCAAAATACCCAGTGTTCAATTCATCTCTATCACTTTCAAACATTTATAATTTAACTGAAAATTTTATTTTTTTTTAATTAGATTAACTGAATTTCAAATAAATATTGTGTATAAAATTTAATTTTTACATGTGTAACAAAAATGTAGTTCAGACATTCAGTGTTAAAATAAATTTTGAAATTTGTCCACTTAATTTATTAGCATTGAAGTATTCCAGTGGAATTAGCGATATAGAAAAAATCATGAAAAACCATGCTCATTTTGTTTTTCGTTAATGCTATAATTTTATGAAAATAAAAGCAGTTTGCTCGAAACATTGTGAATTTCCGCCTCCGTTTTTGTAAAACATTAACCAATAACTTTTCCACCCGTTCTCCGCAAATTAAAACTTGTAACTTTTGTCTATATATGTATCTTCGACTATTCCCTCAAATTTCATGCTAATATTAATTTTAGATAATCTATTTACAATATCTTGATACCTGCAGATGTCCCTTTTTATTTTTGAAAGTGTTTATTTATAAACTTACCGGAAAGAGACAAGCTATTTTGAATTAAAATTTTTTGAAAGTGTATGTGTTTTACTTTTAAAAATATCCTGAGTGAGGTTTAGCAATCACACGGCGAATAATAAATCGCGTTTGTTGTGATTAAATTGAGTAAGTTTTCAAATATTAAACTTCACTTTACACAAAAATGGAAATAATTGAAACTACAGAATATGCAATTATGCAATATTTCGAACGGTATGAAATAAACACACTATTGTTTTTTATGTTTTCAAAAATATTACGAAACAGCAAATTTTGAAAGTAGCCGTCAAATTTTATGAACTCCAAGCGATTGCCAAAAGTGATTTGTGAAAAAAATTGCATTGTTTTTTTTTTGGGTTTTCACCATACGTATATTCTAAATCTTATCGTACATTATATAAATTTATTATATTGTTTGTTATTGTATTTTTTGCTGTTGTATGAGTGTAGTATACAATTATATAACTGTTGCTTATTCATATATGCATATATTGTGGCTAGCAGTTATACATAGTATGTTATATTATATGTAATAATCGCCTCAAAATATATTCACATTCGAGATACTCGTACATAGTTTTCATACAGAAATTCAACCGCACTTATGTATTTATAAAAATATTTCAAAATATTTTTTTTTTGTTTTCAGTTGTCCTTAAGCTTTGTCTTAACATTTCTTTAAATGTTTCATGTTTTATGATTTTGAAATGGTAAATATAAAATATTGTTTTACACGCTAAACGAACGAAAAATTGGTATTTCTATTTTTTTGTTTTTGTATTTATTTTCTTTTTGTAATTTCGTTTTATATCAACATTAAATGCTAGTTTTGAAAAATAATAATAATAACTGCCAATAATAATTGGTACGATGATAAAATAATAAATTCCAATGCGTTAGCATTTTAAGTCAAGCGCATACGACACTTTAATATTGACTTTTTCATTATATTTTCTCTTTTTTTCTTTTCTTATTTGCCCCTAAACTATGAGTGTCTCTCTTTAATCCTAACATTTATTGCTAATGTTACAATAAATCAAATTAATCGAAACAATATAATTATAAAATAACCGTATCTGAGTTGTTTGCCATTATTATTCAAAGATGCCTTTATTTCTACTCTTTAAACGATATCAACTAGCTATTGTTGGTGAGTCATGATTTGTGTTGTTTGATTTATTTTTTAATATTTGCTGTTATGTTGATCGCTTGTGTGTATTTCAACACTCAAAATGAGCAGTAATTTTTGTTTTGGGGAGTCGATTATTTGGAGTATTCCCTTTTAAAAAAAAAACTCTATGCAGTTGGTTCTTGGTTTAATGAAAACTTAATAACAAATGAATGCATGATGTACGTACTTTTGTTTCGGTTTTATGCGCCGCCATGATTTTTAAAAGCAGTGTTGATTTAAAGTATTGTTACTTTTAGTACAGCATTGTGTCTTGGATTTCCTTGATAGTGCTTGCTGGATTTACAACTACTTTTAGCTTTGATTTTGCATTTGCGGCATACATATATACTACGTTTTGTATTTTACATAGAGTTGTTGTATGTACTTTCTCCCTGTTAAATTTCATTACTTCGTTTGTAATTCTCGTCTGTTTTATTGTTTTAATATTTGTTACTTTTTGCTTGATTTTTATATCTCATTCAATATTTCTGGTTTAATTCACTTAAATATTACGTTATATAAGTTCCATTTTCTTTTTTGAGTGGAAAATTGTTAATTCTTTCTTTTTTTTGTTAATTTTTTCTTTTGTTTTTTTTTTTTATCTTATATGCTCCTCCATCTAATTTTGCTTGTTTATTTTGTATTTGCTTAAATCTATTGATTTTCATCATCATCACCGTCGCCATCATCGTCTCCATGCTCCTCATGCTGCTGCGAACTTGCAGCGAGTAACGCGGCTTTCTGCGCTGCAGCCTGTTGTGCTTGCATTGAAGGCGCGGACATCGGAATTTTCCCGCTAGTTTTGTACTCGGTCATTTCCTGCAATTTATTAATTATTATTAATACAAATTATTTTATAAAGCCATAAAGGCTAAGTATTTGTTTGCAATTTGTTGCACTTACCCGCTCGTAGCGCGCCTTGTCCTTCTCAGCCATTAATTCGTACTTTTGCTTAACCTCTGGCTCTACATCGGACCACTTGCGGCCGAGCTCTTTGGCTATATCGCCAACACCGTACTCAGGATTCGCAGCTTTAACTTTGTTACGTTCGTCATTGCAAAACCAGAAGAATGCAGATCTAAAATATTAAACGAAATATTATTTGATTAGATTTTATATTCCATGGTGAAAATTTGATGAATTGCAAAAGTTTAATGAATGAATGCATTGTTAGCTACGAACTCACAATGATCTTTTCGGCGCGTTCGGGTCCTTAATCATTTTCCTCTTCTTGCCACGTCCTACCACGGTTCCTTTGGGTGGTACATAATTTTGCATCTCCATCTCATATCGCGCCTTATCTTTTTCGGCCATCTCATGGAAGCGCTTCTTCTCCTTATCCACCATTGTCTGAAAAAATAAAAATACAAATAATCAGTATAAAATATGATAACAATGGAATACAATAATTAAAAAGATATAAAACTAAATATATTTAAACACGTCAAAAGTTGTTCATTTGGTATATTAAATCAAAAATTTGCATTTTATGAAAAAAACATCAATGTGCCTTTCAAAATGTGAACAATAGCCGGAGCGTGCTAACTCCAAGAACTATTTAGTTTTTATGCAGCTACAACAACAAAGAGATTAAGGAAACTGTCACACGATAGTTCTTGATGATGTCTCGGTGGTTGCAATATAACACAGGGTGGTTCAGAGACGACATAATGGAGTGAAGGGGATTTTAGTCCCTGTGATTTCACAATGGCCCTTCTAAAAGCTTAGGTGCGTCGTCAGATATCCGCTCTACCTATTACATAAATACCTACCTACACTATAAGAGGTCTTGCCTTTTAGAAGTGCAATATACTTTTTTTCCATCTATTTATATATTTTGCAATAAGCTATTATAGGTAGGTAGGTATGTATATAAGTATCTACAAGGATTTATTGTACCCATCATTACTGACCAAACATACAGCAACAATATTCCATCATTTAAGTTTTAATTTGCTTGGCAAACTTCATTTTTCACTACGCCATGCCAACAGTTATGCCCGCTTATCGTCCATTCCAGTCAAGTGTCGTTTGAGTCAAACTTCAATTTTATAGCTTTTGCAATCAGCGCACGTTCTTAGTGACATCCGCTCTACCGCCTCATCAGTTTTATAAAGGAAAATGTGTTTTCTGCATTAAAAAGGATAAATTGCCTACACCATCCTTTCAATTTATTTTGTTGGATTATTTGGCGAGGAAAAGGTATTTCTAATGGTCAGCAGGCGTAAGTTTGTGGAAATTAATTGTGCAGAGCGCTTCGAAACATATTAACGCATGAAAAAGCTGGTGGTCATACAGGCACGCACACACACAGGTCACGTGTGAGTAAGTCTTATATTTCCGTTTAACTGCAGGACATCTTTAATTTAAGCGCATCTAATGCAAGCAAATTTATTAACATACATATGTCAGTATACTCTTAATTGATCCATAATTTACGCTTATTCCATTAATCACCTCCTTAAAAGCCATTCATTAAAATCACAATCAGTTCGTATTTCGCTTTAATTTCGTAATTTGCTGTAAAACTGCTTTTTGTCTGTTTTAAAGCCAAAAGCTGTGTGCTTCATATTACAATATTTGCCATTAAATTTCCTCTTTCGTCCCGACGCCAATAAAATAAGCCACGAACAACGACACAAACCAACAGAACCAACCAAAAACCCAACCCATAATTTCCACCACTAGCAGTGGCAATCCCAGCTGACAGCACTCAACAGAGCGTACCCTGAAAATGCTATGTACAATTTTATATACATACATATTTATGTACAAAGTACCTATATATATATATATGTAAATACTTATGTATATGGTATATAGTGGACTTAAGCAATCTACCCGGCACCCAATACACCCACTTTTCACCTTAGACATTTGAAGTTGACCGAACTATGAAGCAAAGTGCTGAAGTGCAAAAAAGAGTATGCCTCACAAACAAATATGTATGCATGTATGTATGTCTACATATAAACTCCTTGATATCGGGTTCTAGCAAAATTAACCTTCAAATGTATGAATAAACTTTTGATGTTTTTATGAAATGTGACACTGTCTGATGATGTTGTTAACAACATCAAATTCAAGCGAATCCTTTCAGACTAACCGTCTTGTCTGCCAATGGAGTTGGTATTTGATATTTTTATATAAGTATGACACTTTATAAATATTATTTGGAATTTTCAAAACATTAATATTCTAATTAGCTCCCGGTAACGCCAGAAATAATACTTATCATTTAGAAAACGAGATTAAATGTATAAAATCTTCTCGATTAATTTTTATGAAATAATAAAAAAACCGTCCATTTTTTTAATAAAAAAAAATTAAATAAACTTGAAAAGTTGCAACATCGGTACATAGATTTTGAATATGTATTTTACATTGCAGAAATCTCAAAACAAAAAGCTGTTATTTAAAAACATTTTACTAAATATAAGTTTACTTTTTCTAAACGCAAAAGGACACAGGGTTAACAGTCTTTGATCCATTGGACTACGTGCAACTGAAAACGACGCAATTACTTATATAGCATATACTTATACCTAATATACCAACCCAGCAAAAGCCCCAGGTATATGTATATATTATATATATATATGTATATACATATCTATATATATATATGGTACAAGGGCAGGACTAAGTTACTGCTGGATTTTTGAGTCGCAAACTTCCTCTCGCTATCGCCTCGATGATGGAGAAGATGGTGGACAGAGCATATGCCACTGCGCAGAATTTTAAAATAATAAGTGAGTAGTAAGTAAAAAGAGAGAAAGGCAAAGCTAAGAGAAATATATAATGTGGTGGAAGAATGGGTGGAAAAATAACGTTCTGGCATTGATTTTTGTGTAAGCCAGCTTGTGATGACGACAGCGGTAGTGATGTGTTGTTAAAAGCCACCCTTAAAATACAACATACACGCACACATAGAAAAACAATATATATCGATATATGCATATACTATTCGTACGTGCGTATGTATGTATAAAATCCGGCTGGCAATGTGACACAAAAATTAATCTATATGGATGGCACAACTTTCAGATTACTGATTGCTATTAGTAAAAGCAACGCTATCGGAATCCTGCAGATTTGTCTCTCTATATCTTATATTCATATATGCTTGCACATATTTGGGGTCCTTTGGAAACAAAAAGTAAAACTGAAATACTTAAAGTCTATATGAATTATCTTAACTTATCTATATGCTCTGTTACCGTTTACTTCAGCTTTATTACTATAAAATAAATAGTTCCTAAAAAATTTACCTCAAGCGACATATAAAACTCAAATAAAAACCAAAAAACACAACCAAAAAAAAAATATAACAAAACATATTCATTTCGGCTGAACCGATACTCTTCCCTTCTTACGAACATTTTTTATAGCATAAAATAATAATAAATAAGTTTAAAGATATTTATCTTGATTTTAAGCAATCAGTTTGAATGGCAGCTATATACTATCTATAGTGGTTCGATTTGAACAATTTGTTCGCTGATTGTACCGTTGCCTTAAACAACAATCTACGACAAATTTTCGTAAAGGAGTATTGTCAAATAAAAAAAATTTTCATACGAGGACTGGATTTTGATCTGTCAGTTTGTATGGCAGATATGCGTTACCTTTGACAATATTTCATGAAGAAATCTTGTCAAATAAAAAAGTTTCCCATATAAGGACTTGATTTTGATCGATCGATCAATCTACAAGTATATGCAGACAGACAGATCGACATGGCCGGATAGACTCAGCTCGTCACGTTGATTAGTTATATATACAGTTACTGACAATAAATATAATCAAAATTTCATTCACATGATGATTGGTGGTTTAATGGATCCCAACTTTTCTTGACCACACCCGAGGTATGCTTCGGATCATTGTCATGCTGGAACTGCCAAACTAAAGGCATGTATTACATCTTCTAAAATTTTAAGGTAGTCAGAACGGTCCATGATTTCCCAAATCCAAAACGACGGTCCAACTCCGTACCACGAAAAACATTCCCATACCAGATATTACCACGTCCGTGTTTGAAAGCTTTTGTCATGTACCGGGGATTCATTTCAGCATTCTTCGGACGTCGAACCCAATCTTTTCCATCGCTACCTACCATATTTATTTTAGATTCATCGGACCATAGGATTTTACACCACTTTTTTGTATTTTTGTCAAGATTGGGATTTTCCAGGACAACCTTCCAAAGAGATTATTTTCTAAAAAGCGATGCGCAACGGTTCCCGAAAAAATTTCTACACCCAACTCTCTTTGGATAGCTACAGAGGACTTGAAAGAATCGCGTTTTGATAAAATCTTGAATCAATTGTCATCCCCCTTTTCCCTTTGGGTATAACGGTTATTTTGCAAGTTTTTAATAAGCTTAAATTCTGCCGCTGTGTAGTGCTTCTCTCGGCCCATTTCTTCTATAAATTATACTTAATTGTAACAAGATGTCAAGTATTAACAAATATCCTAAAGATTATATACTTACAATATAATTTTTTATTAAATAATGCCTATAATTGACATATTTATTCCTTGACTCTATTTTTTTGTCACGACAACAAATGCATACTATTGATAACAGTAAAATGTAACTGAGCTACCATCATGATGTTTTAAAATACAAATATTGTAGGAATCGATAATCGATTACCAACAAAACGTGACCGAACTTTATCGGACAAATAATATAGATTAATTATTTAGGAACCATCAATTTGATTATATTTTATTGTGTTACTGTATACGTTATAGGGTCTCCGATGCTTCTTTCTGGGTGTTACACACTTTGTAGCACATTAAATACACTCTGTTCAGGGTATAAAAATAAATCATAAATCATCTTTATAAAATTGCGCATTTTTTCTTCATGACAAGGACATTGATTGCCACTTCCTTTTAGTTAAGCCGGTAAATGCATATTAAGCAGATAATAGACTTTCATCCAAATAAAGTGAGAAAGTAAGCAAAATAATTTAAAGAAATGTATTTTGTCTCTTAAGCTGCAATAAAACTGGATAAATACGTATTAAGTTTCTGTAATATCGTACAGGCAGTATATGTACATATGTATATGGGCAAAAATGCAACTCAGTATGTTGTAAATTTAGGTTACACAACAATAAACCGTTAATATATACCTTTTTTTTTTACTTTCAATATTCACACTCTTACGTAACGTGCAGCATAACCAAAAATTTATTTGAACTTTCACATACTTCGCGCAGAAAAATTAACTATACGAATAGGAAGAGGCATACCGTCTGCAACTAGAGACGAACCCGCCACCTACACCTATCCTTCGCCGATTCTTCCTTTAGGCTTTATAAAACCTTGGTATGCATGTAATATGTATGGATGTTGTCATCGTCCTTCTTACATACCGACAAGTCTACACTTCAGCAGTTTTCAAATGCAGCAGGACGTTGATGTTGAGTGGCAAATGGTTATGTTGCAGACGGTCAACAACACACTTACATATAGTAGTATGTGTGTGGACCATTTGGATAAGAGGAGCGCAATAAATGTGAGGAGGCATCTACAGAATTGCATTTCCGTCATTAAATGAATTCATGTTTTCCAAGCGTTGCCGCCGCCTGCTTCCACACCAAATAATTTTACATGCACTTGCACACACAAGTAAGCGAGCAAACAAGCACCTATGTGTATGTGTGCGTGCATACATATATATTTGGGTATGTTGGTATACTGAGAATATTTTTAAAAGCTCGTCTGCGGCCCCGAATCGGTGTCGTCATCGCCGGTCACCCAGTACCCCTCCCCCTAGCGCTTTTGACTTTCCGAGTTCTACCAGCATTTTTTTTATGATCCTTTCAGCAATTCTTCTTTCAATTTTTGTTTTTCTTTCACTTTATTTTGTGCATTCAACTTAAGTACCAATTCATCCTTTCTTTCTATATTCATTTTTGTTTTTGTTGCATTGCTGCCGGCAGCCACTTAAATATATTTTTTTTAAAACACCTCTCATGCTTGTTTTCTCTCACCGGTCGCCGCTCGGTGAATGCACTATAATCGTTTTTGTTTATGCTGCGAAAGCATATATACACACAACGCTCAACACCCTCGACTCCTTTCGTTCTTTCTATACCTTTTTGCGTTTTTTTTTTGCACAGATTTTACATACAAATATGTATATATGTATGAATGTATAAAAACGGCAAACAATTTAAATAGAGTACAAAGCGGTGAGTGTGTGTGTGTGTGTGTGTGTGTGTGTACCATATATAATGAAGAGTAAAATAATGTAAAACAACAATAAAAACAAATATATAAAAGAATTCCGACAACATCGAATCATAAAAAAGTGTTGGCAAGGACATCTTAAAGCAAAGTGGGTGCCGCTGCTGCTTTCGCTTTCAGCCATTGTTCGGTGTTTTTCAACAAATCTTTTTACTTATTTTTATTGATGAAAGCGTAAGTACTTAAATAACAAAGTTAAGTGGCGACAGGCGCCCATATCTGCTAGGATTGACAAAAGAAAGATTGTTATTGTTGTTGTTGGAGTTGTGTGCCTCTTAATTGAATTATGGTGCTAATAGGCATGCACTTTATAACTTATGGCAAGTACTTTGTAGTCATCCACGTTTTTGGTAAAACATGACAATATAAAATACGCACACAAGCGATGTATGTATATTTAACATTAAAGTGTCTTTAATATTATATGTTCTATGAAAATGAAAATATTTAAAGTTCTTATCACTACGGATCAATGATTGGCGATTTATTTTGAACTAAATTAAACTGTATGAACGCGGAGTAAACTTTCTAAATAAACTTTTCTGTTCAAAGGAGATTAGATTAGTCGGTAACAGAGGAGCTGACAAATTGATTAAACTTCTCAGGAAAAAAAACTTATTAAGAAACGAAGTCAAAATTGGTTAAACAAAAGAAGTCTATATTTAATAACGCCACAAAATCTTAAACACCTTAAACAGTAAATGAACTAACGTTTAAATTCCGTTTGAAATTTATGGTTTCGTCTTCGATGATTTAATCTACCAAATTTACACAACGTGACTTTAGTGATTTTTTAGAAAAAATTTGTACGAACTTACCTTCCATCGCTCAGCGCACTTTCGGGAAAATTCGGCAAAGATGACTGTCTCATCGGGATGCTTCTTCTTGTGCTCCTCTCGGCATGTTTGTACAAAGTAAGCGTACGCTGTCATACGGCCTCGGGGCTTCGCATCAGCTTTAGCACCACGAACCATCGTGCTCTATATTTTTGAGAAATAAAATATAAAAAAAATATGAAATTAGTAAAATTTTATTTACAAGTGGGTTAAATGATAAGTTTTTATAAATTCTTACATAATTGCATACTTATACTGGCATATACGCTAAGACTCCACCCAATGATATGAAAATTTCGACTAGATCTCTTACTTATAACAGTACATTTTTTTTTAATATTAATATTGCTTATAATGATATGTTTGCTCTGAATGAATGGTTTCTTCGACACTTCGTGATTTGGGTCAAATTTTATATTGCTACAATTTGAATAAAATATATATTAGGGGTGTTGGGGATTCCAAGACAGATCATTTGCGTAGTTGTCAGACTTGCAAACCAATTCTGATTTTCAATTGTGTCACAGAATCTGATTAGATTTTCGTCTTTTCGAACATATGCCAAAAACCAATATTCGAATCAGATGTTTACTATTATGACAAAACAGCCAAATGAATAAATTTGAAAGCGTTTGTTAAATAACAAATAAATAAATGACGATAAATAAATCGTAACAATATAATTTAATTTTTTAACTTTTATTTCAAATCTGTCAGCGACTATCCTCTTGCTTTGTTTCTGATAACAAAACCTATAAAATTGGTTTACGTGCCACCCAAAACCGATACAATTTCTGTTTCGAACGTCAAACCAATAATATCTGAATTCGCGACACCTACCTATTCCGATTCCGACAACTATCAGATTCTACAACAGTCCTGATTAAGTTTATCACGAAGTTTATAACACCCAGAAGGAAACGTCGGGGACCCTATAAAATATATACATATAATAAAAACGAGCTGAGTCGATTTAACTATGTCCAACTGTCTGCATATACGCGAAATCCTCTCAGTTTTTGATATCGATTTGAAATTTTGCACACGTGTATAATTAATTATATTATATTTGTCGGGCCCGCCGATATCGGACCACTTGCCGAACAAACTAAATTTTGGCATAGATTATTGTGCAACAAATTGTTCAGATCGGATTACTATAGCATGTAGCTGCCATACAAACTGATCTATCAAAATCAAGTTCTCTACTTTTTTATTTGTGAAGGGTATTTTAGTTTCGGCACAAACGAAGTTAACCCTTTTTCTCTTACTCACTGTTCTCAATTTACTTTAAATATCTATTTTTGACATAAGTGGCAACTTCGTCTACTGCACATATGCACACATACATACACAGGAATAGATAACAACGACAATGCAGCAGAGATGAGCCAGCAAAATGAAAAATGACTTTGCAATAGAATCTCATAGCATCAATAACAAATTATGCACACACACACACAGACACACATACCAATTATACATTGTATTATACTTGTATTCATGCATATAACATAAAATTTACTTGCAGCACGAGCAATAAAACAATAAATTAACATTTTACATAGGGTTTTATACATATACAAACACATAAATAAATACTATATACATATACATTCCAATGGAAGCTGAGCAACATCCACATGTATAAATAGAATATATGTATTGCATATACTCTTATATGCATGTGTCCATATTTATAATTAAGGTGCCGGCGTCGATGCTGGTGTTGAAGTTGACAGTGATGAAGTGACGATAGGCAAACAGCCAGCCAAACTCATGGCAGCCACAAGTGCATATACATACATAATGTATTGTTGCCACACAAGTGTGTGGGAGTTGTGCAAATATCTAAGTTTACACATCGGTGGAATTGAAAGATAGCAAAAATATATACATATATGTATAAATAAAGTATGTATAATATATACATATATAAGTTCAAATATGTATGTATATCTATTAGTAACTGCTATGCACATATATAGCATGCCATGTTCATAGCTAAAATAAAATGCAGGCTTTGTGCGCCACCAGAAGAAGACAGCGCCAAGCAAAGGATGTTGAGTTGAAGCAAAGTTGTCAGTTTCCAGGCAACCAAACTGTTGTTGCACTGTCACCAAGAACTCTGTTGCAGCAATGCCGTGGATTAAGTGCAAGTGCAATGTGTATTTTGTACAATATGAGTAATAATATGGTAGATGAAGGTGGCCTGTCGGGCAATTATTTATTATATCGCATTTAATTCCCTCTGGTGAACAATGTGATGCTGATGAGGCGGCTAAAGCTTTTAGCTATTAAGTACCTACATACATACATATGTATGTATATATGAAAATAAAGTTGATGATGATGAACATGTTGAAGTGATTATACGAAATGCAGTAGTTGCCACTGAAAGACGAATTTTATGAGACCACTGCCTTAGCGATAAAACGATGTTGGGAAATCGATTTGCAATTTGCAGCTTGAGAAGATACGTCAGTGAACAGTTTAAACCGAAGCGTAGTTGAAATAATAAGTACATATTTGTAAAACTATTCGTTTATGCAGTTGAATAAATTTTATTTTATTTTATTCTATTCTATAGTTTATTGTTTCTATTTACTTTGAATGTGACACGACTGAGCACTCTGCTGCATATTATTTTTCTAGTTTTCTGCGGAAGTGCAATTATAATAATGTTGCATCATATTTCAATTGGTCTAACCACAACATTCATATTTACTACGTAATAAAAGTGATTTACACGATTACAAGTAAAAACAACTTGGTTTTTAAAATGAACGAAGTCTAACATTTTAATTGAATTATTATTAGATTTAGAAGACCATTATTTCACACTAACACACACAATTTACATATTTATGCATATTAATTAATACCAGAAAATAACAACGAAACTTTAGATATTAATTGATACTACTCAATTTGTAAATTGAGATATGTCGTTTTGAAAATCAAAAGTTGTTTATTTTGTCTAGCGGTGAATAATCAGATCCAGGAAATCAATTGTAGCTGATTTAACTAAACTCTCCAAATTCCTTGGAAAACCTCAATTTATCAGAACATGCTTTATACAAACGTATAGTAGATGGTTTAACCTATAGAACGTTATTTCATACATATGACCAGATTTGCGTAAATTTGCATGTCATAGGACTTACTCATCAAATATCATCAAGCGGAAATACAATTAAAATTATCTAACAGCGCACTTATAAAATAATTTAAAAATTATGGTACACATATAGCATATCTATAAGGTATATATGTACATACATATGTATGTGTGTACATACATGAGGAATAACAAACAGACTATTAATAAAATAGAACCGAGAAAAATCTGACGGCTTGCCCCGAAATGAGTTTCAATATTTGAACATCTGAGAAATTAATGCCTTAGCTTTCAAAATCAAATTTACCAAAATTAATGGGATTGATTTAGGGAATTACACGTAACTGTAAGTTATACAATTGAAGTTTTTGGAATAAAGGTAGAAGGTTAATTTTATTACCATTTTCGCTAGATTATATATAATATTTGTGCATACATACATGTGTCCAACTTATTATAACCATTTTACTCTATTTTAGTGGGTACACCTAGTGTGAAATGAAAAAAAAAGTTTTATTTCTTTTGCAAATAACAGAAATAAAATTTTAAATTACTATCTCAAATATTTTTGGAGTGACAGTCGTCTAAAGTGCAGCCGCAGTTCAATTAGCTCTATCAGTTTATCTTTAAACGCGTTTTTTTGAAACAGCATTTTTCGCATTTGCTTGTGTATCTTTTCGGAGACAAGTGATCCGATCACTATCAAAAATGTTCTGCATATTTTGATCAAAATGGAATTTAGGCATTCTAAATAAAACGGTAAAGTTCAACTTTTTGAAACGCCATTTTGTTAATTTTCTATTTTGTTTCCACCGTCTTCTAGAGTTTTTTTTTAAGTTTCATTCACGGAAAAGTTTCAATCACGGCCACAATGGTGGCCTTTTTTTCGCGTCGACAGTGATTGCGTGCAACTCAAAACTTTTTTACTGTAAATTCTTGGAATATGTATAAATATACCCTTCAAATTGTAAAACAATTGATACAGTAATTTTTGTGCTTAATTCCCAAAAATCGCCTTTTTTTGGCCTTACCCACTAAGTGTGGTTAACCCAGCGCGGTATATTTGTGTGAATAATTTAAAAAAATTCAATATTTCATTTTAAGTTGAGAGCTCGTCGTTTTTTAACTTAAAAGAATGCTATTTGTGAGTTCATTATTTTATTTTTTTTTTATTTTACGTTGTTATTTTTTTTTCTTTAAATGGTCACTGGCTATTAATATTTGAAGAAAACAATTTTTTAGAAAATTTTTTTTTTAATAAAATAAACAAAATAATAATAATATTCAGATTGTGGGTACCCCGGTACCCGGTTGCTAAAAGACGTCGGTAAAGTTGATTACTAACATAAGGGTTAATAATTACTAAAATTTTAAATAATGAAATATATATTTTATTATTGTATTATTATTTTAAATGAAGTATTAGCTATTGTACATAAGCTACACTTGTTATTAATCATAAGTTCTATAGTAATAAGTAAGAAACTATAAAAATTGTAATTATACGTAATTATTTACAGTCAGATGCTGCCATGTTAACAGCCTGAAAGTCCAAAAGGTAGCTCGTAATTTATTATTTAAAATTAAATACAACCCAAGCTAATATAAGCGTGTTAAAAATCTCACACTGAACAATTACTGTACGCAAACAATATCCATATCTGAATCCACCTTGCGTACACCGCCAAAGTGCAGCACTCTAATATTGATCTATAAATGTAATACTCTCACATAAATTATTGATGTCATAAATTACACGAATCACAAAACAAATATATTGTACTATCAACAAATACACACGAACCATGAAAATTCATGAGCCAATTGCAAAAATATGCAATTGAAGTTACTCATACGCCATGTAGGTCCTAACCCTCAAACAAAACAGAAAACTTTGCCCATACAAACATACGAGTACGATATTATGCACAGCGGAGCAACAGTGCGATTGTTATCGTGAAGCCTAATCAGCAAACAAATCAGATCAGCGTATCATAGCAAAACGAATGAGAAATAAAAACAA